AGCAATTCAACTAAAAAACTATGTTAACAATCTATTCTAACTCCAAGTTGCAGCTCAAGAATCCATTCTTCAAGTAATGCGATCGAAATCCATTTCTTCATGATCAGATTCAGCTCACTTCTTTTCTCAAGCTTCCTTTCTTTTCTTCGATCCTACAAAACATCAAAATGTAATCTTATCACATCATGTATTAAGAATCTAGAATAGGAACTTAAAAGAGTTAGTTAATGGATTTTACCTGAAGCAGAGCCATACGTCTTGACTCTCCCATCTCTTAGATCTCTCAGGTAATTAGGGCAGCTTCGTCTCCAATGCCCCTTCTCTTGGCAATAAAAGCAAATAGACTCCTTTGGCACAACACATCGGACAATCACAGACTTAGTTCTTTCTGGACTTCCAATGTTGCCAGTGTCCATTGAAGTTTGGGAGTTTGATTCACTAGACAAATTTGCTTGACCAGCACGCCAAATCATTGCTGATTCAGCAGCTATAAGCAAATAGGTGAGATCAATTAGGGTCACGTCGTGGTCCATCATATAGTACTCTCTAACGAACTCACTATATGATTCAGGAAGTGACTGAAGAACCCAGTCAACAGCCAACTCACTTGAAATCTCGACACCCAACATGTTTAACCTATCAATGTATGACTTCATCTCTAAGACGTGCGCACACACAGGTTTCCCATCTTCGTGTTTACTTGCCAAAAGGGCTTGAGTGAGCTTGAACTTTTCAAGCCTTTGAACTTGTGGGTCAGGGAGAATAATTGGAGGAGGTGGAGGAAGTGAAGCATGACTCTCATTTCCTTGATCGTATCTCGGAACGTCATCTTCATTTGGAAAGCTTGTTCCAAAGGATTTGGGAAGACCATTGTAAGATTCAGACATCTACAAAACGGGAGAAAATTCAAGTTAAGTTGATTAGAATTCTTGATGCAACACCCAAATGAAACATCAAGCTAGGATCCAACACAATACTCTACAACCTAGAAGAGGGATGCCGTAATCTAGTTGCAGAATATTTGAAGGTAGGTAAATGACGATTTACCAATTTCCACCATGAAAAACGAAAAAGAAGTTTAAGTTTTAAATGAATTGAAACTCCTAGATCTTTTGAGACTCATTGAACTCTTCAATGGCATGTTTAATCTCGATTATGCCCTACTATTCGTGACTGGGATGCCGAGGATCACAAACAAGGTGTGAATAACCATACGAATCACGTGGTGCACCCAATGCTACTATCACCTAATCAATGTGCCGGTTAGCCACACACGCTCCATTGATCTATGATAAGCATCGAGCCACCCTTTGCCACCAATGTCATCCCCAAATTAGTGTGCCGGTTAACCACACACGCTCCACTAACGTTTGACAAGGGTACGAAGTGTAATTCCATGGGTTAGCATACAATTTCACATTTTGCCTAAAGTAACTATGATTTGGGAATTTGAAAAAGCATTTAGTTACTTTGTACTTCATTATACTTATAATGAAGGTTTATGTCCTATCCTACCCGTTCGGCTAACGACCCTCCACTAGTCAAGAGTGCGGTGGGTAAGAGTGGATACCCATTCAATCGCCATTTTATAGGCAATTTCCTTAAACACCCCTTATAGACTAGCTTCGTGAATGAGGCCTACTAACGGTAAGACTGAATTTTTAGTTATACATATATAATATTAAACTTTTAATGTTATATATAGTATAAGGGTGTATTTTACACTTTTAAAATACTAGGTGGTTTAAATTATACTTTTAATTAACCAAAATCATTATGGATTTATTAAATCTCTTTTAATTATACACTTAATTAATTTAATAAAACCATAAGGGTTTAATTTGAACTTTTCAAAATCAGGGTTTTGGAATTTAGACTTTCAAAATTAACTTTTAATCAACAATTTAAATTCCAAAACTTGAGGGCAAGTTTTGAAACTCTTCAAAACAATTAGGTTTTAATTCACTTAAAATTTTCGAATTTAAGACATTTAAATTAAAATTTTAAATATTAAAACTCTTGATTTAATAATTACCATAAATTAAACAATTAATTTAAATTATTAAATCACAAGGGATTATCTAGATCATGAGGATAATTACCAATTATACATCTAAGATATCCTAATCCCTTGAATCCCTCTCTAAATCTCGAAAATAAGGGATGGGATAATTCAAGATCTTTAATTACCATATTTAACAATTAAAAGATAATTACAAGATATGGGATTATCCAAATCCCTAAAATTTAGGATCTAACCTTGGGAAGGAGGTAATTTCGAAATCCAAGGGTTGGATAACCCTAGATTTCAAAATCTTGGAGGCTAAGGAAAGGATTTGGGAAACCCTAGCAAAAATCGCCATCTAGGGTTTTGCAACCCTAATTGCGAAAATTACCTAGCCTTTAGGGTTTATTAGCCATAAACCCTAATATGTCAAGTTCACAAATTTGAATAAAAGCTAATTGAAAACAAAAACCAATGGCTCTGATACCACTGATGGGTTTAATACAAACAATCCTATGTGTGCATGCAACCCTAGTATTGGATCTATGTTTTCACTATTAGTTATACAACTTTATGAACACAAAAAGAAACCTGGCATGCTACTATAATTTTCGAAATTCATATATAAAACTATAATACATACCTTTTGTTGTTATATAGCAATAACAACTAGTTCCTTGAATTTCCTTAGCTCTTGAAAGCAAGTACCACAAGTGTAGTACCTCTAATGGAGTCACAAACACCATATGCAACTTGGATGAAGAGGAGAAGAAAAAGAGGCACCAAAAACGGCTGGAAACCCTAATGGAAGTGTTGTCCACGTTTTTGGGGCCTAAGGGGTCCTTTATATACTAGTGTGGGCTGCTAGGGTTTCAGTCAAAACCCTAATGGACAGCTTAAACTCTAAGCAGCCCATGGAACCTTCTGGACAAGGCTATGGACGAAAATATGATGGGCTTCCATCATAATTTCGTTCACCCCTTATTCCTATAGCATTCCTTAGCCCAATAACTCAATTATCTAATAATTGCAGTCCAGTCCCCTATATTTAATTAATCTCTTTTAGCCACAAAATTAATTCTTAATTAATTCTTGACTAATATTAATTAAACAATATGATTTCTCCTTTAATATATTATTCTCATAATATATTAATAAATCATATTTAAACCTTAATCTCCTTAAATCATCCTACATATTGCTATGGTGAAGGCAACCCAAAAGGACCATGCTCATAATCGGGTCAAGTACATACCAAAATAGTTATGGACTTAGACACTAATCCAACAGACATTTCATGCGGATCGCCTTGTGGCATACTGATGACGTGTTATCAGGATAGCTTCCAAAAAACGACGTCGTTCTGATTTTCTGCACCAGTGAAAAAAATAAATGGAAAATAGATTTCTCGTCACCTATATCGATGACATGTAGTCGGCATAGGTTTTTAGAATACCACGAATAATTTGGTCGTTCCCGCTGGCGATGACATGTTGGCGGCACAGATCACCTCGTCAAAGAAATTTGGTCAAAGTTGCCAAAAGGTATGGCGACGACATGTCGTCTGACTTGTAGCGACGATTCTGTCATCGGGATAGGTATCATCACAATAGCTCCGTATTCTTGTAGTGATTTTACCAACCAAACGTAATATCATTTAAATCCATCTCTAAACATACACCCTTACACCTACTAGCCAGATATCAATTGAAATGCACTCTTCTGAATACTTTCTGATTCACATTAATGCATGAAGAAATCCAAGTAGCATGCTAGATGCTATTTTTGTTTTGATTCTTTCACGTTGTAATGAATGGAATACTACCCAATAGGCATGGGAGTTATCTTATATAAATACTAGAAAAATGATACAGTATACACCCCTCAAGTATACAATAAATCTAATAGTTTACATAAATATAAGCTAGGCTAATATCCCCCTCAAGTAAGAGGCGATGACCCAAGGCACAACATGCGACGAAACTGCTCAAACTGTGGTCGAGGAAGACTCTTGGTGAAGATGTCAGCGACTTGAAGCTTGGTAGGAACAAACATGGTGACCAGTTTTCCGGATGCAACTAGCTCGCGAACAAAATGATACCACGGTCAATGTGTTTAGCACGTTTGTGAGTGATTGGATTTGGAGTGAGAAATAATGCAATTTGATTATCACAAAGAAGTGTAGGACGACCGGTGGGCAAAGCATATAACTCTTGTAACAGATGAGTAATCCAAATAATTTCAGCTGCCGTGTTCGCCATGGCTCGATATTCAGACTCACAAATGGAGAGGGAAACTGTGGGCTGTTTCTTAGCACTCCATGATACAAGATTACCCCCCAGGACTATCGAGTACCCATAAGTAGATCGGCGAGTTTCAAGACACCGGGCCCAATCGGCATCAGAATAACCAACAATGGCAAGAGACCGAGGGCGTGTGAAGGTGAGGCCAAACGATTGAGTACCCTTGACATAGCGAATAAGGCGTTTGACCGCCTGAAAATGAGCCTCGGTCGGAGCAGCAAGAAACTAGCTATGTTGGTTAACCGCATAGGAAATGTCGGGGCGAGTAATGGTCAAATATTGCAGAGCACCAACCAACGAGCGGAAGAGGGTGGGATCGGCAAAGGCAGGACCGTCACGAACCAAAACTAATATAAGAAGAGGAAGGTAGAGAAAAGTTATGTACATATATTAAACTAGTGTAATATCCCCCCTCAAGCGAGAGGAGGTGGACCAAGACGAAGCATGCGACGGAACTGCTCAAACTGTGGCCGGTGTAGACTCTTAGTGAAGATATCAACGACTTGAAGCTTTATAGGAACAAACATAGTGACCAATTTTCCTGAAGCAACGAGCTCACGAACAAAATGATAGTCAAGATCAATATGCTTAGCACGCTTATCAGCCACCGTAAGTGTGCCAAATCAACCCGGTAACGCGGCTTGAAGATCCCAGATTTCGCCCGTGTGGTCATCGGATGAGAGGGAGGCGGCATGCGAGGCGACGGAGGAGAATCCGACTCGGAATCAGGGCCCGATTCAGCACCAGTATTAGGATCGGAGTCAAACCCGGACGACGAAGCATCGGAGGCGGATGATGGATCAGAGACGACACCCTGCGACGAGTCGGAATCAGATGGGAAAGTTGCCGGCGTCTGGGGCGGTAACGGATCAGTGCACACGGTGCAGGGGCGCGAAGTAGTCGGGTTGGAGATCTTGGGAGGAGGAGCAGGAACAGCGGCAGGAGGAACCACAGGGTTGATGGGCTCGAAACCAACGACAAAGGACTGCAGCGGAAGAGACCCAATGTGGGCGGTAGTATGTGTGTCTCGAAACGGAAAACATGATTCATCAAACCGGGCATGACGGGTGACAAACACACGATTAGAAACCGGATCAAGACAAAGAAAACCCTTGTATTGCGAGTGATACCCAATAAAAACACACGGAAGGCTCCGTGGTGATAGTTTATGATCTGCATAGTCCTGCAAATATGGATAAACCCGACAACCAAGAATACGAAATTGGCATAAATAGGGGTGCGATCAAATAAAACCTCAAATGGAGAGCGCATGGCCAACACCTTAGTGGGAAGACGATTAATTATGTGCACCGTGGTACTAAAAGCATGCGTCCAATAAGAGACCGGAAGATAGGCATGAAACATTATAGCAAGGCCCGTTTCCACAATATAGCGGTGTTTACGTTCGACCCGCCCGTTTTGTTGAGGTGTGTAAGGGCAAGAGATACAGTGAAAAATGCCATGGCTTTGTAACAAAGCCTTTACTTTATTGTTTAAAAATTCTGTACCCCCATCAGTTTGAAAAATCTTGATTTTTGTAGAAAATTGTGTCTCAACAAAGGCCATAAATGTCGCAAAAACTCCATAAAAATTGGATTTATTTTTAAGTGGAGAGAACCACGTGAAACGCGAAAAGTCATCCACAAATGTAACATAATATCGATAAGCGGCAACCGAAACAACAGGAGATGGACCCCAAAGGTCACAATGAATTAAATCCAAGACCTCTGAGGCACGTTGGTCATTAATCTCAAAGGGCATACGATGAGACTTGGCAAGTTGACAAGGAGAACATACAATGGGTTTTGGTAAAATAGAAGAAACCATTACATGACCATCTTTATTCAATTTAGAAATAACATCAAAATTCACGTGCCCTAAACGGGAGTGCCATAATTCAAAAGATGCGGTGGGACATTTAGTAGCAAACAACGAACAAGCCACCGGTTTATTGGGGAGAACATAGAGCCCGCGGTCATGCCTTCCTTGTGCTAGAATTTTCTTCGTGACCGATCCTGAATAGAACATGAATTTTTCGAGAAAAGGACATTGACATCATTATCAGAAGTCAACTTGCTAACAGATAATAAATTTTTAGTAAGTTTTGGGACAACTAAAACATCTCGCAATTTAATACGATTTGTGAGAGTAGAAGTCCCAATAGAGGTAATTGGAATAGTTGTAACATTACCAAAATGAACCGAACCATCGCCATGGAAAGGCTCGGATGGAGTGACCGAGCCCGAGGAGACCATATGGTCCGAGGCCCCGGAGTCAACATACCAATCCAGAGCAGGTGGAGTGACACGACAATTCGCTAAAAACGCCTTCGTCAAGTCCATTTCATTTGGATTAGAGTTAGGCACTAGCAAAATGCCCATTTAGTCTACATAGTTGGCAATGAGGAGGCCGACGGCCGCGACCACGACCAGCACGAAAAGCACCACGACCACCGGAGCCACCACCGCGACCTCGGCCAACAGAAAATGCGGGAGCAGCCCCGCTAGGCGCTGAAATAGCGGAAAAGGCGACAGCAGGGGTGGGCTGCCCATGGATCGATTTGATGAACAATTCATGGCTTTCGGCTTGCGCAAGGAGATCTCGGAATGAGTGACTGATACGCAAGGTGCGAACCCCAATGGAAAAAGCTTCGAAACTGCCGCCGAGGCCACATAAAAACCAATGACATTTGTCGGATTCATCAACGGCTTGACCAATAGCCGCTAGTTGGTCACAAATGGCCTTGAACTTGCGACCATAATCAGAAACGGGAGAGTCACCCTTGGAGAGAAGCCGAAGTTAGTCGCGTAGATTTTGAACCCGTTCCATGGAGGAGTTTCCATAGGCGGATTCGAGAGCAGTCCAGATAGAGCGGGCGGAGGAAAGACCGACGATTTCAGAAAAAGCTTCCTCCGTGAGGGAGGCTTGGAGGAGAAGAACTGTGCATTGATCGGCGGCTTGCCATTCTGCAAAGGCCGGATTCTCAACTTGGTTGGTGTGCACGGTATGATGAGTGGGTGGAGCTTCCGAGGAGCCATCGACATGTGCAAGGAGATGTTGATAATTTAGGAGGGGAACCATTTGATTTACCCACAAAAGATAATTGGAAGAAGAGAGATGAATGGTGATGAGATGAATGAGGGTGTTCATCGGGAGGGTGGAGTCATTAGAGGAGCCGGCCTTGGTGAGATCGCCGGAAACAATGGAGGAGTCGGTTATGAGGAGGGAAAGGAAGGGAGGGGTTGAAGGGCTCTTGATACCATGTAATGAATGGAATACTACCCAATAGGCGTGGGAGTTATCTTATATAAATACTAGAAAAATGATACAATATACACCCCTCAAGTATACAATAAATCTAATAGTTTACATAAATATAAGCTAGGCTAATACACGTCATCCGCATTTTGTCCAGACGATGGAAGAATTTGTGGATTGCTGTTCCATCTCTACACACGGAAGAAAAAACGAAAAAAGCAAATTCAAATAGTTTGTGTATTGGGTTTTAGCAAGCAAAACCGTAGATTTGGATAGTTTTCATCTATGTTGTGATTGTTATTGGCAGTGAATTTATATGGCAGTCACGAGAAATGTCAAACAACTTAACTTGACAATTTTCCCCCAACGAGAAGACTGAAGCTGTTGAGTTGCCCCATTGTCTGGTAACTTGCAGTTCCGTGGAGTTATTAAGCCTAAATTTGGGATATCGTTGTCTAATTTTGCCGAAAGGGATTTCCGGCACTTAGGGCTCTTGAGTTGTCTTATGTTGACTTATTGCAAGACGTCAATTTGGTTAAAGATTTTCTCGCAAGCTACCATTTTCTTGAGGATCTGACTTTGTCGGACTGTGTGCTAAGCAAACTTGATCTTCTTTGTATTTCATGTCCGAAGCTGAAAACGCTGATTTTCATTGTGAAGACAGGCGCTGTTGTGACATTAAGATTTCTTGCCCAAAATTGGTGGATTTGTGTTTAGAGGGTGATATAGTATGTAATTTTTTCTTTGAAAGTCTAGCTAGACTCCTTAAAGCAAGCTGAGATTGAGGCTATTTTTGAGGGCAACACCGTACCTGTGCTGTTTCATGGAAATTTTAATGTCAAACCTTTGTGGATTGACCTTTCCTTCCTGTGTGAGGTAGATGCTTATTCTCTTTATGCATAATTCTTCATTTCAGTTATATAAAAAAAATTATGTGTACTTTCTGCATGCAACCACCATTACCACTTATTTTTATAAAAGAGTTGACCCAAATGAGAAAAGACTGCAAAATGTGGAAGTTAGGCTACCAACTGTTCAGCTTGACCCTTCTTAAGCATCCATTGTATGTAAGTGAAAACATGAATAGATCGCCGTATTATAATAAGATTAGAACATTAACTTTTTAACTGCTGTTTCTTTTTTACTTAATGAGATCATAGCTTAATCTGGTAAATAAACCATATGGGTGTTTATTTTTTTTATTTTTTTCGAAACGGTAAATTATCGTAGTCCTAATCTAATCCTAAACACCACCTATATCTCCTAGTGAGACTTGAACCCATGACCTCTCATTTGAGAAAGTCACTCCTTACCGCTAGGCAAAGGCCCTTTAATGTACAAATACTGAAGGAACGTTGTGGATCAAAATCTATAGCTTAAATGCCTAATAAATATATACTTTTACCTTCAGAATTTTCTAAAAACTGAACTGTTAGCAACTTTTACTGGACAAATGGAGGGCATAGCTCATAGTCTCTATACATTTCTCTATCAACTTTTTTTTCCTTTCCAAACTTTGTATTTATATGTACTTCAAATCAAGTTTCTATTAAAGGATATAATAATTGGAGATGTCTGAAAGTATCATTTTCATCAAATCTTTATCATCTACGTATCTACATGCCTATTGTATCCCTTGCTTTTCATATTTGTAGTGCATTGATGGAGCATGTGACTTACCTCTACCTAATTTGAAGACTTTGGTGCTTAAAGCAAGTATGGATGCCTTCAATGTTGATGAACTGATACGAATTCTCAAATATTTTCCAAAACTGGAGAATCTCAAGTTGATTAACATTAGAGAGGTATTCGTATATCAAGTTGGTATTTTAATTAATTTATTTTTTATCGCAATCTTGAAGCACGGTGGCTCACTTTCCTATTTCCTTGATGTATTGTACGTTGTAAATTTCTCACATAAGCATTACAATATATGAAAAAGAAATTGAGCTCATAAATATATATATATATATATATATATATATATATATATATATATATATATATATATATATATATATATATATATATATATTTCAAGAGCTCAAAAGCTTGTTTGGATGACTTTTGCACCTCAAGATGAATAACTTATGCTTTTGTTCGATGATATAAGATTTTAATGAAAAATACGAGTTTTTGGATGAAGAAGAAACAAGGAGAATCATGACTCCTGATGTAAAAAGGGTCGAGTTTTTCGAATTCAATGGTGAAAAGCAAAACTAGTTATAGACTGGTTTGAAGATCTATTGTATTTGTCTTTCATTTGGGGTAACGAAGTTGGGTTCTCTAATTACCGACTATGAGCTGTCAAACTGATCATGCTTTTGAAGAGCTATTGTTACAAGAGTCATGGTTTTTGGAAAGAAAAGTCATATTAATGAGGAAGATGATGTAGGTAAACAATCACAACAATACCAGCCGGAAGAAGATGATTGTGTTGATCTTGGAGATGAAGAAGACAACCAAGCAGAATGCAGATCAGAACATCTGAGTCAGACAAGTCAATCAAGTGGGAGTCAAGTTACACAGCGAAAAATCAAACTGCAGATGCTAAGCCTTTGGTACATCCTACTGTACCGAAATGAGCCTACCGCCTACCCCTTCGTCCAGAATTTCAGGACCTAGTGAAATGTGTACCGTGTACTGCACCCCTACCAAAGCATACCGCGAAATTCATTGGTAAGTTTACAATAGAAAACCATACGGTTCATACATTTTTCAATATATATACATTTTTCTGTACAATTTAAAAAAAAATTATAGGTAAGGTATGTATTAATATTTTTTAAGGTAGGTCCCGAAAACTTTTCTATAATAATTTTATATAAATTAAAATAATTAGGTCTGTGACCCACCTTTCTTAATTATACCTAGCCTCGCCATTGCGGCCGCGAAAATTATGTGACTACGACCACAACAACACAAATTGTAACATTATAGCCAACCTCTTCTTTCAATTGCACTGATTGCAACAATAGTATGTAAAACCAAATGCCGTTTATTTTTACCACCACAAAAATGAAATTAATAGAACAAAAACGTGAAAATATATATGAGAAATTAAATTGATTATTACTTTTTATGTCTATAAATATTTCCACCCAATAAAATCAGGGCTGACTCTACATTATGAAAATTACATCCTACATGTTATAGCTATAAATATTTCTACCCACTAAATTTATGAAAAATCATCATTCAATTTTATTTTATTTCATATATTCTTAATATAGCTTTAATGAGTTATATATATATATATATATATATATATATATATATATATATATATATAATATATATATATATATATATATATATATATATATATATATATATATATATAGGTTCAGGTTCATTTGAGAGCATTCTAATTTTGTGAGACCGTGAGACCAAATCTAAAAATAATTTTAAAATACAAAATAAATGGAAAAATCTAATAGTTCTTTTCTCAAATATTATTTTCGGAACTTTAATTAACTAAAAAAAATTAAAAAACACATAAAACAAATCCTGTTTTTTTTTTTTTTTTGAAAAATACGTAAAATATTCTAATATAATATTAGACTGACATATTCTAAAAAATAATTTTAAAATGCAAAATAAATGGAAAAATCTAAAAATTCTTTTTTTAAATATTATTTTCGGAACTTGAATTAACTAAAACAAAATAAAATAAATAAATAAAATAAATAAATAAAATAAATAAATAAAATAAATAAATAAAATAAATAAAATAAATAAAATAATAATAAATAATAAAAAAAGTTCCATTTTTTTTGAAAAATACGTGAAATATTCTAATAGAATATTACACTGTACATATTCTAAAAAATAATTTTAAAATGCAAAATAAATGGTAAAATCCAAAAATTCTTTTTTTAAATATTATTTTCAGAATTTGAATTAACTAAAAAAAATAAAAAAGGAAAGAAAAATGCGTCTCACGGTCTCACAAAATTAGACCGTCTCACATTAACCAAACCCTATATATATATATATATATATATATATATATATATATATATATATATATATATATATATATATATATATATATATATATATATTTGGGGATATAAAGACAAGTTGAAGTTTGGCTTGGTGGTAAAAGCACCGGTTTATAAAACTCAAGCTTTCAAGTTCAAAACTTTTTATTTACTTAAAGGGTCCCAATTTTTTGGTTTACTTAGTTAATAAAGAACTTTTTGTCACTTGTCAATTTCTTATGTATTTTGACATGTAATTTTATGGTTAATTTTTAGAAATTAATATTTACTTGTCAGTTTATGGTAATTTTTTATTTCTTAATTAATTATTATCTAATTTTTAGGTTATAGAAAGTAATTAATATATCACTAATTTATTTCGTTATATTTTCAAATTTTAATATGTTTCCTTCAATATATATATTTCAAAATTTACATGTTTCTCTTAATGTTCATTGTCATTTTAGACAAAATAGTATACACAAAAATATAATCAAACTTTGTTGCTTTTTATTGGAAAACTAAAAAATTATTATATGGTCAAAATATACTTATTTTTCTAGTTGTTTTATTAATATAAATTGAATTATTTATTTATTCATCATTTTGTTTGTATATATATTTTGAAATTTTATTTTAAAAAATACATAAAGTTTATATCTTCATACATAAATCTTTTTTTTAATCAACCTGTGTAGTACACGGGTTTCACACTTAGTGTGTGTGTGTATATATATATATATATATATATATATATATATATATATATATATATATATATATATATATGGGGATGAAGAGTTAATATAAGCACAATCTCTAATGAAGATCATTTTGGAACTGGGACTTGTTTGGAGAGATACATACTGTGAGCTTTTGTAAACAAAAAATGATCTCGTTTTGTTTCGAAGTCAAAGTACATTTCAGTTTTTAAGGAAATAACATCATAATGGAATTGAAAAGGGGATTAGTTATCGTTATATTACGGAGAAATGATGTTTTGTGCATTTGCCCATTCAGTCCTTTAAGTAATTTCGTGCTATGTAGGGGCATAAACTGATTGTGACATGCCATTTTAGTCCCTTTAAACTAAATCATATGGTGGAAGTTCCACATGTACACTTTCTAGGGTCCTTACTATAATTCTGGGGATTTAGATAATGTAGGTACTGTAGGGTCTACTTTGTTAGAATTGAAGAGAAGAGATGGACAACAGATTTAACTATAAAATACTTTCTTTATTAGATAATCATCAATCTTTTCTGAACATGGAACAATACAATTTATATGTACATTACAGAACCGACACAACAAATCAAAGGAGCCGGTTAACATAAATAACTTCCATAAACTATATAACTAACTAAATAACTGCCATGGACCCGGTTTAGGTCTAGCTTATATTTAATATTCCCCCTTAAGCTAGACTGGATGAACATCCAACATTTCACTTAAACGATTGAAGTTTCCCACTTGTAAGGCTTTAGTAAATGTATCTGCAAGTTGTTCCTTGGTGTTGCAGAAGCCAACTTCAATTTCCCTGTTGTTGACCAATTCTCGAATGAAGTGATATTTAATCCTGATGTGCTTACTTTTTCCATGAAATACCAGATTTTTAGTTAATGCGATGGCAGATCGGTTGTCAAAATAGATCATTGTTGGGTCCTCCTGAGGTATTCCCAATTCCTTTAGAATTGACCGAATCCACAAAGCTTGACATCCTGCAATAGACAAAGACATATACTCCGCCTCTGCAGAGGATAAAGCTACGGCATTTTGTTTCTTGGATTGCCAGGAAAATGCTCCTGTACCCATGTTGAATACATATCTAGCGGTGCTTCTACTATCATCAAGATTCCCCCCAAAATCATTGTCGCTAAAACCTTTTAACTTGAAGTCTTTAGTCCTTGAGTACGTAATTCCATGGTCAATTGAGCCTTTCACAAACCTTAAAATTCGTTTCCCTGCTTCCCAATGGTCTATCTTCGGAGATTCCATGAAGCGACTTATTAAACTTACAGAATAAGTGATGTCTGGACGAGTTGCAGTTAGGTACATAAGGCTCCCTATTAAGCTTCTATATAGTTGAGCGTTTACCATCTTTCCTTGTGAATATCGTGAGAGCTTTAAGCCAAATTCCATGGGCGTAGGGAAGGTTGAAGCATTGTGCATGTTGAATTTAGCAATAAGCCCTTTTGCATATTGCTTTTGAGAGATGGATATTTTATACTTTTCTTGCTTAACCTCTATTCCAAGGAAGTAGTGTAGTAGACCCATGTCTGACATCTCAAACTCAACTTTCATTGAATCTTTGAATTCTTTTATCAATGCGCAAGAATTTCCTATAAAAACTAAGTCGTCAACATAGAGACATACAAGAAGCATGTTACCTTTGGTTCCCTTGATATATAAGGTATGTTCATGTACACATTTCTTGAAACCATGACTGGTGAAATAACTATCAATCCTGCTGTACCAAGCGCGTGGCGCCTGCTTCAATCCATATAAGGCCTTCTTCAGGCGACACACCTTGTGCTCTTCCCCTTTCTTGATGTATCCAGGGGGTTGGTCGATATAGACTTCTTCACTAAAAAACCATTCAAGAATGCTGATTTTACGTCCATTTGGTGGACTTCCCAACCGAACTGTGCATCAAACGACAACACTAACCGAACCACTGGAGCAAACACTTCATTGTAGTGTACACCGAACTTTTGTTTGTACCCCTTTACGACTAATCTGGCATTGTGCCTGTCAATTTTTCCGTCTTTGTTGAATTTTGTCTTATATACCCATTTTACCCCTATGGGTTTGTGGTTGTTTGGAGGGTCAACCAGTTCCCATGTTTCATTTTTTAAGATTGCTTTTATTTCTTCGTTCATTGCATGCTTCCAAATGTCTTGTTGATGTGCATCCTCAAAACACAAAGGGTCGGCATTAGAAAATAACACAAAGTCGGCAACATCATCAAAATTCAATGATTGTGTGTTTGCATATAAATCTTCTATAGTTCTTAACTTCTTTGGCGTACTTTCAGGAGAAGATAAGTGAGAGTTAGAACTTGTCACTGTGTTATCTGGGGTTGACTCTGATCTGTTTGAGGGGCTGGATAAGTTTGGATCCTCGTGGTTATCCTTTGAGGTCGTTTTGGTAAAATCACTATCAACAACTTGGTTGGCTTTATTATTTTCATGTTGGCAATCAATCCATGACTTTTTCTCATCAAAAACGACATCTCTACTAATTATTGTTTCTTTAGTGACAGGATTGTAAAGCTTGTATACCTTAGAGTTTTCACTGTAGCCCACAAATATGGCCTTCTCTGACTTGTCATCTAATTTCTCTCTTCTTTGGTCTGGAATGTGCGAATATGCTATACATCCAAAGGTTCTAAGATGCTTGACACTTGGTTTGTACCCACTCCATGATTCCTGAGGCGTCATGTCAGAGAGACTCTTTGTCGAGGACCTATTTAACAAATAAGTTGCACATGCCACGACTTCTACCCAATATTCTTTTGCCAAACCTTTACTTTTCAACATGCTTCGTGCCATCTCGATCAAGGTGCGATTTTTTCTTTCCGCCACTCCATTTTGTTGGGGTGTGTATCGGGTAGTAAGTTGGTGATGTATCCCGTTTTCTTTCAAGAATTCTTGAAACAGTAGAGAGTTGTACTCCCCTCCTCGATCCGATCGGATGGATTTTATTAAGTGTTCACTTTGTCTTTCCACCAGATCCTTGAAACCTTTAAATA